GCTGGGCCCTGTGCTCACTGATGGGGGATCAGCAGCTGTGTCTTCTCATGCCTGGCAGAGTCCCCTGAGCAGGGACCTTTGTGTGGTCTCAGCAGGTGCTTCCTCCAAGGGCTCTAAAAAGAAGGAAAGCAGCCTCCATCATCCGCAGCCTGAGGTGTGAGGTGAACTCTAGCACCAGGGTGTAGGGAGGGGCTGAGCAGTCACTGGATGGACACAGATTTACATGAACAGCCCCTCCTCTGGCAGAGGGTGAAGAAGAAAAGGGGGCCTGGGGCAGCCCAGCCCCACTGTGGGTCAGGGCTGTGTGCACATGGCCTGGATCTCTGTCCTCCTCATGTTCCTCTTTCACTGCACAGGTAAGGACAGGGCTGGGGGCCAGGATCAGTTTTCCAACCAGGGTCATCCCCTCCGACTCAGATCCCCATGATCTTCTCTGTAGTGTCTGCTCCATCACCCATGAGGGTCTGTGTTTTTGCAGGTTCCCTCTCCCAGCCTGTGCTAACTCAGCCACCCTCCCTCTCTGCATCTCTGGGAGCATCAGCCAGACTCACCTGCACCCTGAGCAGTGGCTTCAGTGTTGGTGGCTACAGGATGTACTGGTACCAGCAGAAGCCAGGGAGCTTAACTAAGAGCCTGTGAGATTATTGTTAATAAGATTTTAAATACATATCTCAAAAATCCACCATGTGATCAGTGAAACAATATTTAACACCTAAACCTCAAATCCCACTAAGGACCATGGAGGGAAAAAACATGAAGAAAGTGTGATGGGTTTATGAGCTCTGTATCCACAGAAGAGATGATCCTGCACTGGGGAAAGTGCATGAAGGATGCTGAGACATAATTATCTGAGGATGCATGTGCTGGTCTCGGCTTCATTCTAAACAAATGTGTCATTCCATGAACCTTGCAGCTGCAAAACTGGCATACTTTATGCTCCATTCACTTTTTCAATAGGAACTATACCTTTAGCTAATCATTAGGGAAATCAAAACACAAATCAGTTTATATGAGAGCAGTTGTAATCCATTTCTTTAATCTACAAGAATTTTGGAACTATTGTATATTGACAACAGCTGAGATTGGATGGTGAGTACAGGGTGTGCATTGCACTGTTCTCTGTAGTTGGTGTGACATCAAGAAAGTCCACAATGGAAAAAGGGACCCTCATACACTCTTGGTAGGAATGGAGATTGGTGCAGCTGCTATGGAAGACAGTGTGGAGGTTCCTCAAAAAATTAAGAATAGAAATACCNTCCCCAGAGCTTCCCTGTCCTGGGTCTGCCCTCAGCCTGACCCCACCAGGGAGCATGCTCTTTCCTGTCTCCTGCTGGAACATTTGTGTTGAGATTGTAGGTTTAGGAGTCCCTCTATTGTCTTTCCAAATCCTCCCCTCCACAGCCCAAGTCTTTATGGATGATGTCCTATTTCCTTCACAATCACATCATGGAGGTGATATATTTCAGAACAAGTGTTCTGAGCTTCAAAACTGCTGACAATGGGACTGGGGACATTGCTTGGGGAGGGGGCTGTTCTGTACCTTTGGGACATTTGGAAACATCCTCTTCAGTCTACACATCACATGGCATTTGAGCCTTCTCTTTAAATCAGGATACAGAGAAACACCTCCAGACTTTTCTAATTATTCCCTGTGTGGGGGGGTGGTGTGGGACACATCACCCCAATATTATAACCACTGGGTTTAAAGGACATGTTCTCAGCTATTGGGGGGCTTTGGCTTGAGTCCTGTTTATGCCATTCAGGTGGATGGAGACTAGATGCGTGGTCTCTCTCTGTGCTTCTGTGTTCCCATCTGTTAGACAAAACAGTTACACGGACTTACATGACATCAGAGTGCCTAGGGCCCAATTACATTGACTCTCTCATCAGCCAGAGGGCGGGATACATTTTAAAACCAGACTATGTGGGCAGTTACAATTTTGGAATTTTCTGCAATGCATATGAGTGTGTATCAGGTGTATCTTCGTTTATTCTCTGAGGGACGGTTTTACAAGCATGGGATACAGAGATGGACAAACACATGAAAAGGTCTGTAGTCTTGGAGTCTGTGTTTCTGTATGGGTCCAAGAGAACAGACAAGAGCAGGAGGTGCATGTGAAGTGAATTCTGAGGACAGAAGACTACCTCCATGAGCAAATGAACTGCGTAGTGCAAGGTAGTTGTTTGAAGGTCTTCTCACATTACACGTAACTTGGAGTCTGTATGATCATCAGGTGTCACAGGACACTAAATACAGAGCTCACAATCCATCATGTGATCAATGAAATTTAATACTGAACTCCTCAACCGACTGTCCCATAGAGGACCCTGGTGGGAAAACTCATGAAGGAAGAATGACAGGTTGGAAATCTCTGTGTGAAGAAGACAGGATTCTGCACTGGGGACGTGAGTGATGGAAGCCATTGAATAATTGTCTGAAGATGGGTGTGCTGGTCTGGACTTCCTTCTACTCATATATCATCCACAAACCTCACGGCTCCACACATAGGATGTCTTGTTCCTTCTTCATTCCTTCAATTGGTACAATAATTGATTAACAATTCCAGTGATTACAACGCACATGCATTTAAGTGAGAATAATTAAAATCCATGCTCTTATGTGCAAGAGTTTGGGGCCATTAAATGCACATTCACGCTAAAGCAGATACTGCTGAAGGGATATGGCAGGTGGATGTGTATCCACAGTAACTGAGGGAGTAGGATCAGGGATACAGAGGGTGGAAATTAAACAAGAGGAGCCCTATTGATGATGGTGGTTGTGGGGTGATAGGGGCATGCAGATCTGTGAACTGTTCTCTACAGTTTTGGTAATTTCAATATTGTCATATTTCATTCTCTAGTCCTGTCATGATGTGCATATGCGCTGCTATTAAGAGCCCCTCAAATGTGCCCAGATGTGTGTTTTCACTGAGATCTCAAGTTTAAG